GCTGCTACTGCTGGTGTTGCTTCTGTTGCTTCTCTTAATTGCAGTAAAAATGTGAATGAACTTTGTGTTTGACGCTTCTACAGCTGCTGCTGCTGCTGCTGCGCGGCTCAAAAGCTTACGCGCTCTCTTTTCCGCTAATGCTCGCTCGCTCTAGCATGAGTCAAATGATACTGTTTACTGGCTGTGTTTGCCTGTGTGCGTGTGTGTGTGTGTATTTGCTGTTCTGTTCGTGCATGCAAGTGCCCATCATCTGACACTATGTCAATATCAGAATGACGCATGTAGATGAGCAGACAGCCGCGCACACATATACACACACATAAGCAACTACGGCAATGAAAATGCATTTATCGCTGAGCTGCAAAAAAAAAAAGTAACTAAATTGCAGAAGCTATAAGTATGAAAATGTTACTTAATAAAAAAACTCTATTATGAAAAGCCTACAGAATTACAGAACAATAAATAACTTATTTTATTGTCTTGAATTTGTCTTTTTGCGCCACTAGAGCTTTGGGCTTAAGCTTTATGTACATACAGGTCTTGCATATTTATCGTGATTTATAAAGTAAACACAACCATCTTTAAAGACAAGTTTGTTATCATTGCCTAATATTCCATTCAAGCACGTGCAAACTGTCGTGAGAGCAAAATTCCTTCAAAATGCTCATTCATAAATATTTATAAAGTCCCAAATTGCCCTTTACTACCATTTTCCCATTTCCCTTTTGTGTCAAGTCAAAAGTCAACAGGAATTCACAGCGAAACAAAAACAAGTGAAATTCCGTTATCTGTCTGGCTTTGCAAGATTTGATTGGCTTTTTGGCAAACAGAAATTTCCCCATACCGAAAAACTAAAGTTTTTTTGTTGTACCCTACAGCAATTACCTTGGCCATGTTCCCAATTCAAGCCCGTAATTACCTGTGCAGCCGCCGTCTCGCAGTCTCGACTTCATTTCCGCTTAAAGGAAATTTAACTTTAATTGCAAACTGCGGTCAATTTCGTTCGGTTCGGCGCTCTGATAAGCAACAGCAGCAGCCACAGCAGCCGCAGGTCAAACGATACCTTTTCGATACATTTCATACTTTAGATATTTCTGTGTGGGGTCAAAGAACTGATGCGCCCTGCGTGTTCGAAAAACTTTTTATTTGATCTGAATAGCGGATTTCACCAGCTTAACAGCATTGACAGGCTGCACAGTGTGGGCGAGGGGGACAAAACACGATAAGTGTGACCCAATTTGGCAAAGTTTTGTTACTGCTGCTACCGAACATATACACATACATACATACAAATATATATTTCTTTTTCTTTTTTTCGCCGAGATTACACGAGTTCAAAATACTCTGCTACAAGTGCAGTTGTGGGCGTGTCTCCGTGTGTGTGTGTGTGTTGCCCTGTCTGAGCCTTTTATTACGACACTTGTGTGTAGTTTGTTGTTTGTGTGCGCTTTTTGTTGCGTGTAGATACACACATATACACGCAATCAAAGTTGTCGTGTTAGAAGCACAAAGGCTGTCAAAACTCTGGCGAGAACTAAATGAATATGAAACTAAAATCAGTTATACAGTTTGACAACTTTGCACACAGAAGCAAAGGAGAAATACAACTTACATACATGCACACATATACATGCATATAGTATACCAAGTCAAGCTCAAAAGCTTCTCACTTGCTGAGGATTAGGCACAGCGCTGTCCAAATATAGACACATACATACAGCTACATCTAAATTGTGAGTGCACACCCATACACACATACAGACATCCACCAGCCACCAGCCGCCAGCCGCCAGCCATCATTCTTACAAGTACATTTTTGAAGTCATAAAGAATGCGACAATCGCTCTCAATTTTTGCAAAAACAACAAACAATGGACAAGGCCTCACCTTACCTCACCCCACCACACCGCATCCCTCTCTCTCACCAGCTTTTGGCTCAACTGCTTGGGCTAACGGTACAAAAAGCCGTGCTGGCAATCAAAGCTGTAGCTGAAGCCAAACGCAGCAGCACAAAAGAAAGTTAAACGAAGATTTTTTCTTTCTATTTTCGTTTTCTTTACACACAACTTTGTGATTACTTTACGTTATGTTAATTATATTTGCACAATGAAGCAATGTGGGGGTGTGTGCGCAAGCAAGACAAGACAAGTAGCAAGAGAGGGATAAAGAAAGAGAGAGAGAGAGACAGAGAGAGAGAGAGTGGTCGGTCGGCTGGCGTCTATTGCAATTTACTTTCGCGCTTTATTATTAACAGCTGTCGACTGCTGTTGATGTTTGCTGTTTGCTCTTTGCATGGACAGCTGAGCCGCTTTATATTCTAATTACTGTAAATCCAGACACTTTCCAACATACACAGCTTAATATGTTAGTGCTGAGCTCTGTTAAATATTTGCTATAAATCTATTTGGAGTTGTTGTTACCTTTGCACACATCAGTGGGCGTGAGCTTTAATTTATTTGACCTCATAACGCAGTTTTGCGTTGCGAATTTGGACGCAAAGCTTTCAAGCTGCCAGCACATTGTTCATAGCTATGACGAGCTTCTATAGACAGCGACAGGTTATCCACACGCTGGCGCGCTCTCGCAGTTACCCACTCTCTTTGCTATCTTCTGCTTTGTTCTATGTCCCAAAATAAAAAGTAGAGCACAGCACTGCGACCGTCCAGCAGCAGGTCAGGGATGCGACTGAGCGCAGCAGTGGAGGTAGTAGCAGCAGCAGCGCCAGCCTGCGCCTCATTAACGTCACTTGTTGTTGTTGTTGCTGCTGCTGCTGTTGCTGCTGTTGCTTATGTGACACAATTTCACTCAAAATGGAGCATGAATTATTTTTTACTTTTTCATTCTCAGCGTTAGTTTTTGGTGTTGGTGTCAATTCTGCGTGCTTTGTGTAGCTTCTTTTAAGCCGTCGATGTCGTCAAACGAGTTCTGACTTCGCCGCCAACTTTCAATGCGCCCAAATTGAGGCGACGAATGCAAAAAGCGTGTGTGTGTATGAGCGTTTGTGTATGTGAGTGTGTGTCACTTAATGAGACGCAAGTTACTGGCAGGATAACTGGAATTGGAGCAAGACGGGAAATTGGCACAAGCAAGCACTAGCACACACACACGCACTCAAAGAGAGAGCGCTTAACGAAAGAGAGTAAAAGTTACAGAACGGGAGAGTGGGAGCGGGAGAGCACCGGTCGGTCAGCTTTCAGCAACTAATTGCATACAATTTGCCATTAGCTGCATGGCAAATGAGCAAGCGGGCAAGCGGGCAAACGGGCAAGCAACAAACGCTTAATTGGAAGTATGAATTATTGAGCGCGTGCATTTATTGGCCAGCATCTGGGTCAATCGGGGGTCACACGCACACACCTACACACATATGTATGAGCGTGTACCCACTCATGGCCTTCACTTGGACATCCAATAAATTTCCATAGTTTTGCATTTTCGACTGGAAAGGCAGCCTCAATAAAAAGAAACAAAAATTGGAGTCATTAATTCCAGAGAAAACTTGTTTTTGTTTCAATTTTATTTTGTTTTCTTTTGTTGTTTGACTGTTGCAACAAACTTTTGTTTTAAACAAATGTGTGAATCAATGGCGAATTTAAAAATAATTTTGCAATGCAATTTTTGTATGACAAACGGAAGTTGAGCAAGCAACAAATTGCCAAAAACAATAGTTGGGCACATTTGTTTATAAAAGTTTGATAACTGAATTTTCGGACGGCCGAAAAGTGTTATCAGTGTTGACTTCACCATGTTAATGAATATAAGAGTTTTTATAAGTGCTTACATGCCTTCCATATTCATGTATGTGTATGAGTTTTATAACTGTTAATGCAACTTTACAAGTTTTTTATAAGAGAGCAATCGACAAGTAGAGCGAAGTCTTATCAGAGTATCAAAAAATGCAATATATAGATATGTATGCATATCTCGCTAAGCTGATATTTCAATTTGTCAATAAATCCATTTAAAAGTAAAACAAAATAAACAGAGTTAATTATTAAACGACTCAATTTCCGCTAAAAAGAGGCGCAGCAGTTATCAACAATTGTTTTCCTTCTTTTTTATGGCGTGCGAATAAGAACTTCCACTACGTCCCTCTACACCACTCCCGCACACACTCTATCTCACTCTGTCTCACTCTGTCTCACTCACTCTTTCAATTGGCGCGCTGGTCAACGCGTCTTACGAACTGATATCAATGTATGACGCATACAAGAGTTGCAGCAAATATATATAAAAATGGCTTATTAGCTTCTTATTGGATATACAAGAGTACGCTTTTTTGTTGTTATTTTCATTGATCTCACCTTCGTCTTTGGCTTGCCGCACTACGTCGCGTATCTGCAGCTCCATAATGCGCCGCAAATACTGATCGATGTGCTTCATCATTTCGTTTGTATACATTTGCTTTATATCCACATGAAACATTAAAATCAAAAACAAAAAAAACCAAAACACAATGTAAATAATCAATCAGAATATAAGTTGAGCCAAGTGCAATCACGTAGACCCAATTCGAATCCAGTTAGTTGTGAAGCGCGCGTCGGATTCAGTACTGAGGCGAAATGCGACAATTGCGATCGTTTCTTATCAGCCCAATATTCTTATCAGACATTTCGAATAGAGAACGTGAGCGTAGCTAAAGCTAATAGCGCACCAGAGAGCGAGTGAGAGAGAGCGTGAGCGCGCTGCTTTAGTTTGTTTTTGGGTGTGACCGTTAGGTGTGCAAGCAACAGATTTAACACTGTGATACAAGATTTTGGGTTTAAGATCAAAACTGATATTTAAAAAAATGTGGCTTATATTTATAAAAATAAAAAATAAAAGTATAACAAAAATGGTTATTATTTATTATATTATTTAATTTGATTTATTATAGTTCATTTTTGGTAGATAAACTATAACCAAATTTAACTATAATTAATATATAATAATTATTATTATACATAATTAATTTTATTTGATAAACTATAGCAATTTTACCATAAACAACATGTTGCTCAGCTTAGAATTTCAATTAGATATTTTTTTCCAGTCAGCTCTTTTTGGCTGTTGGTGTTGAAGCACAATTCCAAATGGAATCTAATAGGAATGGCAAACGGAAATTGGGTGTTAACGCTTGACAGAGCAACAGACGAGCGTGAAAAGTTAACCAAATAATAAAAGCAACAACAAGCAGCAACAGCAAGCAGCAGCAGCAACTGCCACAACGAATCAACGTCCACTCACAGTTTGAGAGGCACTGCCTTTAGCACGGTCGGCAATTTTCATCAAGTTCGTTGGCATTCGCGCTAATTTGATTTGAGTGCAATGACAGCCAAGCACCAAACGACTCCAGAACCAGTGGCACCAGCAGCCACGCCCACCCACCGAGAAGCACGCCCCCGTCCCTGTCACATTGTCCTGTTTGCCCAGGTGCAACATTTGCTGTTGCCTTATTTGCTGTTGTTGTCGTTGCTCCAGTCTCCAATTAGCTTTGCTGCCAATTAGCCAAAACATTCCACTTGCTGCTCATAATTTAGGTAAATGTTTTTTTTTTCCTTTTGGATATTTGGTATTTGGAGCAAAACTGAGTCGAAAGCATTGACAATTTTATTTATGGGGCACGAACAAATTGTTGCTGTTGCAGCTGCGCTCGCTGTGAAAATTCCAGCGTGAAAAATCAAATGAAAATAAACTCACAAAAATCCAATTGGGCGAGTGATTTATGTATCTGTGTGTGTGTGTGTGTGTGTGTGAGTGTGAGTGTTTGTGTGTGCCTATGTGTTATTTCAACTTGCAGTTCATTTAAGACACCTGCTGGCGCTTCATTAATCATCAATCAAGTTCCCCTTTCTTGATAACACGCCGCCAATCAGAATGTATACCGATAACATACAATTCCCAATTAGACTCTTAATCATAGTTGAGCTAAATAATGCAGCAGCAAGCAAAACAAAAAACAAAAAACCATTTTACTACAAATAAATATTATCTGAGCCAAAAGCTTTTAATTATAACTAAATGCCTTCTGGATACAAAATATTATTTAATAACAAATTTAGCGTTTTTATGTGCATAATAGATATTTATAGATATTATTCATAGTAAAAATATAATAAACCATAAATAATATTCATATTAATAACACAAAATCGAGTTCACGAACTGCAGCGAACCAGTTGATCACTTGAGATGAGCTTTGCAGCCCTGCTTAGCTAGGCTAACGGTTAAAAGCGTATGCTAGCCTTTACAGTAAGAAGCGAATTCATATTCGCAGAATAAAAAATAATTAAAAAACTGTAAGCTAAAAATAATTGAATTATAGAAAAATTCTCTATATAACAACAATAAAAAGCTAACAAGTTGAAACGACATCAAATTGATAATTTATGGATATATGCAAAATTCTCAATAATAATATGATAAATAATTATAATATTATTATTGTTTTTGTTGTTGCCGTTGGCAGCAGCTGCATCTAAAATTTCCCTCTGTTTATGCATGCAGCCGACAATCGCTTTAAATGACGGGCAAACAGAGCGCTGACTAACAGTTATTTACAAGTAAGCACACACACACACACACATGCACTGTCATTCACACACCCATACACACATGCATTGCACTGCTGTCTGTTTGTTGATTTTGTTTATCGGCGCAGTTATAGTTATGAAGTCCATAAACGATGCGGCCAATGCTTCTGAGCAATGCTTTTCAATTGTTGTTATGATTGCTGTTGTTTTTATTATTGTTGCTTCTACTTGCCGTTTCGCAGCGCTCAACTCAATTTCAACTCAATTAAACATCATGGCGCGAGCAATTAATGAGAGTTCTACAAAAATTGAGCTTGCCCACTAACAGACACCATGTAAAACACATGTAATAACAGAATTCATGAAATAAGTAATATATATAATTAAAATAAATATTTTATGAGTCTTGATATTCTTTTCTTTTTATAAGAGATATCTTATAATTGAGTTATTCGATATACCCAACATAGGCAATTATGAGTACAGGGTATCAAAAACGCAGACTATGCAAATGAAAGTACATTAAATGCACACACACAAATACATTAAATGCATAAGCATGTATGTTTGTGTGTAGAACATGCAAGCTGCAGTTGTAAGACGACTGCTGCTGCGGTGCATCTCAAACTGTGTCTCAACAACCAGATTTCCTATGCTAACAAGCCCAAGCAGAGAGAGTGAGAGAAGCAGAGAGAGAGGGTGACTGTGACCAGGTGGAGTTGGGGTTGTGTGGGGGGCAGCCAGTGTGGCGTGTCCGTGTCGCATTGTGGCAAAACGGAAGTGCGCCGAGCGAGAAGCAAACGTCAAGAACAAAACATAAACTGAAAACGCCGAAAACAAAAACACAGCCCAGCGCTAACGGTGGATGAAGTGAGGTCTAAGATTATGAAGGGCGGCAGAGTAAAGAATATGCAAGCAGCAGTTCTATGCAAAACAAAGACAAAATGAGTGACTGTGTGTGCAAAAAGAGATTATAATAAGAAAAAAAAAAAAATTAAAAAACAAAGAACGATAACGATTACTCACCATTGAGGTCCTTGGTTAATTGCGAACGCGTCGACATTTTGACTGTTGTGTTATTGTTGTTGTTTATAAGTTTTCGGCGAAAGTGCCAGCAATTTATCAGCGAGCGAAAATGAAGTCAAACAGGAATAACCACCAGGCGGCGGTGGCAACAGAGACCACAGCGGGCGGCGGCGGCGAATTGCGTGCTGAGTGCCAGGCGAAAAGGGTCCACAAAGCAATTTGAAGTTTGTTGTTGTGGCTCGTCTTCTTTTTCTTCTTCCTCTTATTCGTCTTGTTGTTGTCGATACAATTTTGCTTGGCGCATAAAACTGGATTTAAAGCCTGGCTACGCATGCCGTTCGGGACGAACGGAAACAACCTTCAATTGTTGCTCACACATTTTTCGCAACGGTTTTCCTCAATTCTTTTCCTTTTCGTTTTTTATACACACACTTCCACACACACACTCATACACGCAAACAAACACTTTTCACGGTTTTCCACCCTCTGTCGGGGGATCGGTTGGTCTCGCTTCGTTTTTCTGCACTAACAATTGTTTTCTTTTTTCTTCAACTATCTTATAACCAAATTAAAATTAATTTGCGTATTAAAGCTTTGGCAATTCGTTAGATTTAAATATTTTGATTATTTGCTTGGGAATTCTTGGAATTCTTTTCGGGTTTCCTTTTTTGTTTTTTTTTTTTTTTTTTTTTTTGCCGCTATCGCTTTGAATATTTTGATAAAAATTGAACACTTCTGGTGTTAACTATGTGACGCTGCTATCACATTGACTTAATGCATCGCACACAGTTAATTTATTTGACTAAGAACGTTTTGCATAAGTGTGCAAAAAATTGTGCCTTAAATATTAATATAAAAACTCAGCGCACTGGCATCGCGAACAGCACACACGACGAATGAAAAGCGTTGGGTCTACTGAGCAGTGTGACCAGATCACGCCAGCCAATAAAAAGCGCACAATGCATGCTAAGAAAATACCAAACAGCTGTTACAGCACATAGAGAAAATCAATATATTTATTAGTTGAGCATAGTTTATACCTATATTTTAGATAAATTTAACGTTATTTTTATTCATTAAAGTAGGCATTTGTATATATTTATAGCTATGCATTTGCAGCCCTAGCTGCACAGTGCTGCAAAATTCAACAATTTCGAACGCTGTACAGCACCTTGTTTGCCGCATGCTGAATGGCGCCCGAAATAAATACCAGAAGAAGAAGCAAATATCAGTTGAGCAGACAACATTTGGAGCGCTAAAATGGCAAATGTGCGCTGTTTGCAAAAAGTAATACGTCTACAAAAGTTTGTGCTGCCAATCAGTAAGTAAATTAAACAATAATCAAACAATTGTTGACATAAAGCAAAGAAGCGCGCGTGCTGGACTTCGCAATTCGCCCATTACGAAAGACGTGCGAGTGAGAGTGGCATTCAAAGCGAACAGCTGTTTTCTTTACACTTTTCATTCCTTTTCCGTTCGATTTATACGTCAGGGGGGAGAGGACAAAGCAAATGCTGTGGCTGCCGGTCAAAATTTTATTTAGAATTTTTAGTTAAAATAAAACAAAGTGAAAACAAAAAAAAAGTAAATAAAACAAAATCAAAATACCATGGACGTAGAAATGGAAACGGAACCGGTAACAGAGGCCGAGAACCTGTTAAGCCTAATTAAGCGTATGCTCCACGAGCGCGATTTCGATGGCATCAAAATGCTCTTCCAGAGCCCCGCGGTCTTCGCGGAAATCGAACCGCACATGCCCGCCGCCGCATTGGACATGTATACGGAAATTTGCGCACCGACGTTAACGGACGAAACAAATGTGGACGACACGCAGTTGTTCGACTGCGTCAATGAGCTGCTGAAGATCGTCGCTAAATATGCGCCGCTGCACCAGTTTATGCTGGAGCTGATGGAAAAGATCGAGGAGAGCAGCAGCATAGCCATATTCTCGGCATATCTTCGCGCATTGCAAGTGGTGCTGCTGCGACAGGGTCAGTCCAAGCCGCAGGCCATCGAGTGGTGTCTCGCCTCTGTAGTTACACGTGTGCGGGAGCTGCCGTTGCCGCAGTACCTCAGCGATGGCTACGATGAGCAACAGGCCAATCTGCTGGAGCAGGACAAACAAATCGAGGAAATGCTGGCGCATTACATCACCATCGATCTGTGCTACGAACCACTCTTGAAGGTGGTCCTCGAGCAGGATTGCAACACATCGGTCTTTCGGGATTGTGGCCTGAATCGTCGTAATGCCTTAACCTGCTTCCTGATTCAGCTGCTGGGCAAACCACTGGCCCTGCTCGAGCTGAGCAATGTACCGAAGCGATTGCTCGAGCCGGGACAAGCGCACATCTGTACGCCCAGTCCGTGGCGCCTGCGGCCGGAGTTGACTCAGCAAAGTTATCTCCAAGCCCGCGCCAAGGCGGGCAAAACACAATCATATGTCCAGCAGGTACTGCACACTCTGGTAACGGACGCCTCCCGATTGCTGGGGGATCCCTACTATCTGCTCTGCCTGGTGGAGCAGCGCGCCCGCTGGAAACGTCGCCTGGACGCTGAAAAGGGTGTCTACGAGATGAGCAGCCACAATATCTTCCTAATCGACGAGAAACTCCCACTGCCCGCCCTGGCCATGTATTATCACGCTCTGCTCGTGGGCCAATTGCTGCCCAAGAGCGCGCCCAAAGTCTATGCCCCACTGCATTTATTCGAATCGTGTCTATACTTGGTCTCGGTGCTGCTGGAGCAACCGGAGCCGCCGATGCAGCATTGTGGATTACGCTTGAATGATTATGCGCTCAGCATCCTGACGGAGCCTGTGCCGCAGCGTTCGTTGGATTTGGAGGTGCACAAGCGCTACTGTGAGGTGCTCTGCAAGATAACGGGCTATTCCTCGCAGGAGTCGCTGCGTCAACTGGGCCTCCAGGTGCTGCATCACTATATACTCGCCTTCGAGGATACAGCCAAGTATTTCATATTGAAAAACCTGCTGGAAACTGTGCAGCACGACGGCATCTTGGGCTATCTGGCGGGAATGTATAAGGATTTGGCTGCTGCGCAAATGGAGCTGAAGGTGCCCCTGAGCGAGGTCTACAGCGGAGTACAGTTCCGGTCCATGGTGCTGCGGTGTGTTTGCGTGCTCCCCCAAGACGTGAAATCGGACCTTTTGATGCATTCGGTGACCATATCGAATGCCCTGAACATGGTGCGGTACTTTGCCATGGCTGACCTTGAGAACCGAACGGGATTCTGGGATGTGCTGCCAGAGATTGAGCAGCGATTCCTGGAACCCCTAAGCAAAGCCCTAAACTTCTCCCTCGCCCACTACAAGGCGTACAAGGAACGGGTGCTCAATGGCCAGAGCTCATCCGACGACGAGCTAATGCAGAAGCAGCTCAATATGCTGGCCGTGAACATAACCAACAGCGGGATGGACGGCGGCGAGGGAGATGGCCATTTGCCGGACATTGGGCGAGAGGAGAAGCTCGAGGTGTTGGCCGGGTCCATAACGGGACTGGAGTCACTGCGCGTGCTCTACCTGCTGACCAGCGATAATGTGGAGCAGAGCTCGATAAAGCGCAAAAAAATGATCCAATCGGACTAAAAATTGGACAAAAGACAAATCAAAAGCATCTGTTTCTATGTTTATATCTCCTTTGATCGAACGTAAATGAAAACGAAATTTATCCGACAATCATAATTGCATTTTTTTTTTCTATACATATACTATGTGTATTTGTTTATTTTTGTGTGTTTTTACGGTCAACAGGTGCTAATTGACCAAGCTAACTGTGCTCTCTGCTCACCTGTCGCCTCCAAAAAGGTGTTAATTAATGACACAGCAAAGCGAACGACGCCGTACTGTGATCTTTGCCTTGTTTTAGCTGACCTTCAAACTAATTAGAGCAAAGGGGGAAACCACAACTCCACACGAAATGTGGAACAAATTGTCAACTGAATATTAAATATGTGTTTAAAAATTAACCTGCCACCTGGGGTTACCTCAATTATGCTGGCCATAAAGTAGAATCACTGATATAATATATTGACATAATTTAATGACTAAGGGTAGAGTTTATGAAGTTTCAAAATTATGATCCTTCAAGTATATTGTAAACAGCCAATATAAAAACTTTTAAATCATAAAAAAAGGTTTACAGAAGCCTTATCAGCTTAAGCTCAAGATAATGAATATTTTTGAAAGAAAAAAACGTCATATTCCTAAAATATATTTCCTATGTCAACCCAAAACAGAATGACGATTGGAATATGAATTAACACTTGAATGTATTAAATTGAGAGTTTCACATTATTGTGAAATAAAAACATTTTTGCAATTAAAACATTCTTATATATAAATTCAACTGTATTCCCAAAGAGAAGTTCTGTTATACTTGATTGATTGATTAAATGATTTGCAGATGCACAAGGCTGCTGGCTGGCCATTAGCACCGTTACACCCGCCGCCGTGCTCACACTGCAACAGCAGCGCCCAGTATTCTTGCCCAGCTACGCTGTGGGACGCAGCTACTCCTCGAGCAGCGACAACTTGGATGAGTTTCGAGCGCGTGAGGAGCAACGCGAGAGGGAGCGCGATGCAGCCGAACAGAAGGCATACAAAGCCACAATGAGCGATGCGGGCGGCGGTGCTGGAATAGGTGGCGGTGGTGCGCCACCCGATGGGGAGCAGTCAGCCAAGCAGGCCAAGGTGGATGCCATACGAACGCGTATACTGGATGCAGCGCTGCTGCATGTGCCGGAGCTTGGCTGGACCAAGCAAGCGATTGTTCAGGGCGCCGAAGAGAGCGGCTTTCCGAGCGTCGTCCATGGCATGTTTCCCGATGGCGGCTTTGCACTCGTCTCCCATTTCAATGGCAAGTGTAATGCAGAGCTGGTGCAGAGTCTGCAGAAGAGAACGGACAATGGCCAAAAGGAGGTCGGTGATCCGCTGGATTTCCTAGTCCAAGCGGTGCGCCAGCGCCTCAGCATGATTGAGCCGTTCAAGAAGCAATGGCCCCAGGCCATGGCACTGATAGCACAGCCGGCAAATGCATCCACAGCACTGGCACAAGTGCTCACCCTAGTCGATGATATTTGCTACTATTCCGGCGATCGTTCCGTCGATGTGAGCTTGACTAAAACGAATCTCTGTCCATATATTCATTTGCCTTCATTGCTCAACAGTTTGGCTGGTATACGCGTCGCGTTGGCCTGGCCACCATTATGAAGATGACGGAGCTGTATATGCTGCAGGACACCTCAGCGGGACACGCCCAGACGTGGGAGTTCCTCAAGAATCGCATGGATGAGGCTGTCCAGTTGCAGATGGCTTTGGCTCAAACTGAGGGCATGACGCAGACATTTCAACGTTCCTTTAACTCTGCTTTCATAACGGTATATTGATCTAACTTAATCTATAAAAGTAATTCAACTTAATTCTCTCTCTTACAGGCGCGCAACATACTCGGACTTGGCTACAGTCGTCACTAGCTAAGCTGCACAAAAAATCAGCAAATGTCCAAAGAAAAAACGAGTGCTATGTAAAAATATTAAATATATATACATACTATATATATAACACGATTTATACCTTATAAAAATTGTCATAATATACCTGATCTACGTGTATTTATGCATATTTGTAGGCTGTTTTTTCTAGAGCTCTCGATTTTTTCTTAAAGATTTTTTTTATAGTAGATCCAAATTTGATTTTGAGTTTGTATTATATAATTTTTTATTTTCTAAATTCAAACTTTAGAATAGTCACATATCAGTTTGTCACAAATGATATTCCCTTAAATAATTTCTGGATAAGTTTCAATTTAAAAGAATATATTTAATATTTTTAGTTTTAAAATTCAATTTTAAAATTTTCTTGATTTCGTTTTGTATCCAATTATTTTTTTTTTTATCTTTCTCGCTGATTTTTAAGTTCTCTTTTCATTTAAAAATTGTATTTTTATTATTTAAATTTAAATTTTTTAATTTCCATATCCTACTTTGTCACAAACTAGTTTTCCTTAATTGTTCCTTATATAAATGGTCAATTGTAAATATATTTTCTGCTGAGGCAATCGCTTCTCACTCTTATACAAGTCTTATACGAATCATATACACTGAAATATGCATAAACGTCGTGTATTTTTGTAGTCATATTGGTATCTAAGTCAACTACAATTATTATTATCTTAATGTATAAAACCTTTTTAAAATTTGGGGGATTAAATAGTTGTAAAATCTAAAATCGATTTATGTCTATAAAATGATTAAATACATTTTTGTGGTTAAAAGGAAACAAAAGCATATTTCATTCAAAGATTATTTAAAGTATTTACGTTTATATATACATATATATATATAATGTAGTTTTATCTTCAACCAATCTGTCCATCTACAAGAATTTTAAATTGAGCTATAAAACAATTCAGTTTTGTGGTGTTGCCATTCAAAATATATTTTGATTTTTAATAACACAACTAAGAAAAGAGCAATAGGTGTGGTACCTCCGTTCTTCGATGGATATACTACATACTCATACTTGCGAAACTGTTGTCTGTTTACATTGCGATTGTATATGGGTGTGTGGATGTGCAGGGTATACTATAAAAGAATTAGCTCTGGGGCAGTTGATCAGCAGTCCTGTCCCATTTGGAGGGGAGTACAGCCACTCGCGGTTGAACAGGCAACACCTTCGCAGATACGGGAAAGCGAGACTTCCACGTCCAGGTATCCTCTTCCCGTGGTTTCTGTTGCTCGGGGTCAACGAATGCCGCTGGAATAACACTCTTATTGGTTTCGTTCCATCTGGGAATGCACCGGCGTTTGGTCCGCCTCAGCTTGTTACGTTTAGCCGAAACCACATACGAATATAGCTCCGATATGTCTTTGCATAGATCGGAGTGCTTCAACAAGGACTTGTTATGGGACGACGGATACTTTAATCTACAATTCCCATTGCTGGATCCATTGCAGCAATCGGACAGCTGGCGCACCGGACAGAGGGGACAGGCATAGGGTATCGGTTCGCATGGGGTCCATTCCATGCGGCAGCAGTGTTGGCACATTTCCTAGCTATGTTATTCAAATCAAAAATAAACCCAATTTAGTTCTAGGTAAAATTTGACAAAAGTTAAAAACGTTTTCTACACGGCCCTTTCGAATTTTCTGATCATCAAAATTCGAAAGCTACCAAAGGAAACGAATTCTGACTGATGGCTCCAAGTAGCAAAAAATGGATAAGCTTACCAGAAGTGGAAGCTCTATTATTAAAGTGAACTATGCTAAAAATAACTATTTTATTTACAGAGGAAGTCAAATGTCATTTAAGTCGCGCTTTATAAGAACTGGAAGATTATAACAGGAATGCTTAAAAGTTACGTTTCTTTTTCATTATATATAAATTTTCTCTTGTCTAGATAGAGTTTTCATAGTTTAACAATTACAATATGCTCTACAATATCTCAGAGAGCTTATCATGTGTTGCACATATAGTCAGCATATGTTTTCCTTAGAAACTTTGTTGAAAATGTATTGCACAAGGTAAAACATTTTGAATGAAGACAAAAAAAAAAAATAAAAACAAAGACTAAAAACAAAGTTAAGCACAAGGTTGCAAATAGGGTTCATCATGTTGAGGCAGTTGCTCCACTTTGCTGTGAATTGAAATGAGATTTTGAATTAGATTTAGATTTAGTTAGAGACTATTAACTATACTATATAGCACATGCCTATGTGGATTGTCAGTTTGAGTTAGCTGTCGCTTTAGCTGCTTCTGTAGCCGCATTGGCTGCTCATTGCTGGCCAGGATCATCGCATCGAGCTGCTGTTTGAGTTGGGCAAATGTGGGTCGATTTCCCGGTATGGAGCACCAGCAGCTTGTCATTAGAGCAAATCTGTAAAGACAATTATATTTTATATATATGTTTTACTTATCTACTCTTATCTCAGCTATGTACATACACTTCATCTGTGCAGCCTTCGGGCTGTTTCATGCGCTGTCCCTGACGCAGCAGCTGCAGCAAATCTCTGGGCGAGATGGAAGGATACGGCATGCCGCCCAGTGTGGTAATCTCATACAGCAGCACCCCAAAGGACCAACTGAAAGCAGAAAGTAAATACAAATATATAAATTCTGTATAGCAGACATACATAGATCACATTCTTACACATCGCTCTGGCTGGTGTACACCTGGTGGGTCAGCGACTCCAAGGCCAACCACTTGATGGGCAGCTTGCCACTGCCTCCAGATTTACGATAAACATTCTCATGGTAGACATCACGACTCAGACTGTTAATAAAAGTTAAGTTTAATTAATATGTATGCCATAATATATATACAATATATGCTTGCCCAAAGTCTGCTATTTTGATGGTGAGATCCATGGAGATGAGCACGTTTCGTGCAGCCAAATCTCGATGCACAATTTTATTCTGTGCCAAAAAGTCCTGTGGATAGAAGTCATTATCATCCCATACATTTTTTGCTCTATCTATGCCCTTACCATGCCCACAGCCACCTGTTGCGCAATATCCAATAGATCGGCATATTTCAGTGGTTGCCTTTCCAGTTCTTGCTCAACCGCTGGTGTATTGAAGTACTCCTGATTTTCAAAGCTAGCCGTGCAGCAGGTATTTTTGTCTGACTGCTTCTCCTTTTGACTGCGCTTCAATAGGTTCTTCAGAGTTGCCACAGCAGCAACTGTTGGTCCTGCATTCGCCTCAATATTCTCAATGCCGTGCAGTCCATAGGATTTGTTGTCGGCAGCAAGTGTGCCCTTGTTCCATTTGAAGCTGGTATCTTGGCGGCTGCTGTTCCTTGAGAGATCCGTCTCGGATTCCTCTTCCAGGGTGGACAACATGGATCGATTTATATCCTCAATACGTGTATCGTTATACGAGAGATGCCCAGAACGCATTGAGTGATGCTTCTGCTGGACTAGATTAAGCTTGACATGCATATTCCGTGCGCTGCGCTCCTGCTGGAATTTCCATTCGTCACTGTGGAATAAATGCATTAGATAGTTTCTATGAGGGAAATCAAGGTAGTTGCTTGCCGCAAATAATTCTGAAGGCTGCCCAGGCCGCAGTATTCGGTAAGCAGCATCATGCGATTGCTGCACCTGGTCGAGTAGCCAACAATTCCCACAATATTCGGATGCCTGCCCACGGCGCGTAACATTTCGATTTCACACTTGAATGCCTGCACATCCTCCTCATTGGGGTGATCTAGAAACAGAATCCTTAAACAAACAGTTTGATTTCTTAGGCTATTTTTCTTACCTTTGAGCAGCTTCACAGCCACCTGACGCTGTTTGTAGACACCACGACGCACTAGGCCAAACGCGCCCTCGCCTAGCACATCCTGCAGCAGCACAGCATGCGGGTCTACCTCCAGCTCATCATCCAATTCAAAGTTATCCTCGGCAGCGAGCGTGGCTAACAGCCTGCTACTGTTGTTGTTGACCAAGGACAAGTGAAAGTCGCTTGACTGATTTGGAGCTGCCTTCAGCTCCTTCGTCTCCAGCTTCTGACACTCTTGTCGTTGCTTTTGCCTACGCAGCGACAGCCAACACAGGCCAAGTATCAAACACAGCGTTACAATAAATAACACCATGAAGTTAATCTGCGTGCTTTCTGGAAAATAATAAAAATTATACAAATATGCATAACTCATTTATAATTGTTAACGAAACGTACCCAGCATCCAGAACTGCAAATCAATCTTATCTACGGGCAGAACTGTGGCATTCCGTCCGCCCTCTGTGTAGGCCACTAAATGCACCTCAAAACTGGCACCAAGTATTGTGATATTTGGTATATAATAATGATTAGCACTACCATCCACTAAATACTTCATGTGATTGCTATTCACGTGCAGATCGAATATGTACAGCGTATAGTTATCCGGCAATTGTCGTGGCCGAGCCCAACTAATATTCAGTGTCAATATATCCTGGTCGAAATGGGATTGTTGCACGCTAACATTGACGGGCTTCAGTGGAGCTGCAAGAGAGGAAGAAGCATTAATAAAAGACACTCGTTTAAAACGAATATATCCCGATAAACATATTTTACACAGTATACCATTAATGTAGGGAATTTGGCCTAGTTTAACAGTTTTTTAGTCTGCTTTCAACTATTCAGATCATTTCAACTTACGACACAGGGTATAGTTGTAATGGAACCAATCCAGGCAGCTGGGCACGTGGAGTACCAGCCATTGCAGTGAGCTCTCCAGCATGTTCATGATATTAACCGTGCGAATGCCCACCATGAACTGCTCGCCAAATTTCAAATTCGGTATCGTATAGCTGTAGAGGCTGCGAGGCTGCAAAGGTGAAAGACGGTTAAGGTTTGAGCATAAGCAAAATATAAACGTCTGAATATTTACGTCTCGAAACTCAATGGGCGTGGGCGCGTCCATAATTTGACTGTCCTTCGAGAAGTAGATCATATCAAAGTAACAATTGCGTTCTGCAAGCAGAGTGATTGAATATTAGATAACTTAAATTGTATAAGACTTCTGTATAAGACTTACCTGCAGATGGCTGCCATTCCACTTTTGCTGCAATGTGCTGCCTATCGCCGGGCTGCTCTTCGAATTCTTTCAGCCGAACGTTGCCCATCTTGCTCGGCTGGTAGCCGCGCTTCAGTGTCCGATAGCTCTCCTGGATGGCTATAAACGAATAGGCGCCATCGGCGTGCACAGCCAGCGCTGTAATATTATGCGCGGCAATTGCTTCCAGATCCTTTAAGGTAAAGAAACTCTCATCGGACTGAAAGAGATTCAAGATTTTAGATAGATATTGGTAAGTGGGTGGCTCGAAACGCTCTACCTACCACATAGAAAGTCGATTCAAGATTGACGTCATCGAAAATTCTGTCAAACCGAATGATAAACATGGCATCTGGCATAGCCTGTGTGGCATTATCGCGCGCATGCTGCACCCACTTGATGCGAAATGAGAGCTCCGACTCTGTGCGGCAAACGAGATTCAAGAAGAAGTTCTCCTGTATTTTGTGCGGAGTTGCGGGCATTAAATCCGTTCCATTTTCACTACAGTAACCGTAACAGCTTGAAAAATTCTGCGAAAGAGAACGAAAGAGGGAGAGAGAGAGAGAGAGAGAGAGAGAGAAAGATTTATAGAGCACGATCTTGAGTTACGCTCAATTGGTGTCACCTTATTCGGTATTGTGAGCAGGCAGCGCTTGGTGCAGGCGGTCACATTGAGCAGCAGCTCCTCCTTGGAGAGCTCACGCATGAGTATCAAATCGCCCTGATTGTCGTCTATGAACAGCCAGAAGAGAAATGCATATTTTGCATAGAACAGCAGCATTGTATTTTTGTTTTTTAAATTATTTGATTTCTTTCTTATGTCTCTTCTTTTCAACAGTTGAACTTGCGGTTCTTTTTGTTTATTTTACAGTTCGTTCTGCTCTTGGCTGTGGCGCTGCACTAGTTCCACTATTATTCAAATTTCCTTGTGCAATTGCCGCTCTGCACTAGTTCCAACCTTCGCCTACGACTGAGCCGTGCAAACTGAAGTCGAGCCATGACGAGCGGACAGGAAGAATTGCTGCAAAGTCGCAAAAGAAAAGAAAAAAAAATGGAATTCTGTTTTCATTTCTTCTCTGTTTTGTTTCAACTTTGTGTTTCATGTGCGTTATAGAAACGTACGAACGGATGGACAGACGGACGGTCACGCTAGCCATATCATTTGTAATGCAAAAATCCAACTCGGTTTTCGACAATGGGGCGCCAAAGCGGATTGGAGAAATGCAGAACGCAACATATAAACGAGAATGCTCCAAACGAGAGTGCTTAACAACAAATACCCTTCGATTATGGCGGTGATCAGCCGTTAGCTCTGAATTATGTGTATGTGTGTGTGTGTTGGGGTATATGCGGGTGGGCATATACATACTATGTACATATGTATGTATGAAGTTTTCGCTCAAATCTATTATATACTCAGGTTCTCTGTTTCTGCTCACAGATTTATCAAGCTGTAATAGTCTTCCCACGCATAACACAGTGCATAACTTGAGAGCAATTTTTTTTTAAATCAAATTTAGTGGCAATACAGAAAAGAAAATTAAACTTTTGTTCTTTCTCTTACCTCATGGCAACGGGTATAAACCGTACACTGCATGTGCATGCCTGCATAGATTTCAAGCGTATAAAAAATCATAGAATTTTTATTTCTTGTTCTAAGAGATATGTAAGTCAATTGTAGTCCATTTGAAACTATTAGTCTAAACTTTCACATTATAATGCTTATATTTACATACTATACTTATACTTACATACTATATTTACCACTAAAAATTAGGCATAGTATGTCACTAAAGCTATAGCTATAAAAATTATATTTTCAGATTATTAAACTTACAATTTTATTTCATTTTTAATGCACTATATGGAACACTTTCAATAAAATGAAAAAATTTTTCTTTTGTAAAATTCAGTATAAATTGACACAAAGGGCAACAGTATTCAATTGGACCTTCGATGGGAAGACGGTGCCTAGGAATTCGAGAAGCACTGGCTGCTTGCGTACTATTTCGGCATATTCGTCAAAGGATATTTGCAAATCCTTATCGAGATCAAATTTGATAAATATTAATTCCAGCATGTCCTGCAAGCAGTATAAATAAATATACAGTAGCCATTTACATATATTATATCATTGACTTACCGTGCGCATTTCAATCTGCTCATCCTCATCCTCCCCGACGAAGAATTTCTCAACGAACCGCATCACATGCTCACGATTCAAATAGCCAAGACGATTCTCATCATAAATCTGGAAACGAATATCGAAAAAGTTAAGTAGAATTCGGATATATAGGAACTGTTATACAAACGCTATAGACAAATATCATGCGCTCCTCGAGATCGCTTACGAAATAGGTGGTAAACATTTTCACAAACGATGGCAGTGTACAATGACGATCCTGTGAGAATTTCGGATCTGTACATTCTGGATCGTCGCTAACAACAGCCACAACTCGACCATTAATGTCAGTGTCGGTAACCCGAAACATTTGCATTATGAAATTCCCCAATTGCCTGTGCGTCATATATTTAGCTTTTGGTCCATTCGAAAGTACAAACTTATGATAGATCATCGCGAGGCACAGCAACTCAGTTTCTGAGAACGGAGACTCCACATGGGTGACTATACTGCCATAGATGAAGTTGAAGCGCGCATTTTCCATACAATCCAGTGTCAGATCAAGATCCTTCATTTTGTCTAGTTAACGTATTACTTTTCGCTGAATGTGTTTTCGGAATGTGTACAAAAGTATAAAAATACAAATAGTATTCGGCACTCGTATACTGACGATCTACTTCCTACTGAGCCATAGGTTTTATCGTAATTGTAGGAACAGTTTGGAATTCCACTTGGCTTACTTGGTTTGTCTTTGTCGGTTTAGTATAAAGTTAATTATGATAGCATATTCCACCTTAAATTACAATTGAAACACATCTATTGCTTTATGTATTTTCTTTAACTAATTGTTTAATTGTCCTTTGCTTGAATTAATGTCATTTAGTAGTAAGCTAAAGCAAAGTTACAGGGTATTACAGCGCTATACAACACAAAGTGTACAACGGGGTACATATACGAGCGTGTGTATTAGTGTGTCTGTGTGTGTAGGGGGGAGTATACCTTAGCAATGTACCTTAAAAGACAATCGTGTTTAGCTTACAAAAAATGTAATCTTAATCGAGTACACGACAGCTATATAAAAAGTTTATATATATTAAATGTATGCACACAAACAACATACAAAATACAACTACATAGATGTACAATTATCGTATAAGTATTTATATATAAAATTAAAAAAAAATACATATGTGTATACACATACATATATTATAATTAATATGAAATTATAAACTTAACATAGCTGCTTGATGGGTCTCAAAGAGAGGTTCTAATACAGTGGCAAAAATAGAATACTGACTGGGATCGGATGTGGGATTACTGTCATGCGAGAATGTGGTAAAAACTTATGCTGAAATTCGATTAATTGATTCATCGAGTTTGAGTATTTTGCGTGTTTGTTGCGACACAACCGCTTGTGAAATTCATATTCATAATACATAATAATAATAATACTAATATCAAAAGAAATGCAAATGTTTGTTTCTWGTTGGTTGCTAGGTTTGGTTGTCTGTCAAATCAAATCGGAAAAAGGAAGAGAACAGTCCATTCGAGTCATGTCTGTGGCAACGAGAGTATATTCGCATATGAATACGTATTCATATTTCTATATATCTATATATATATATATATATTCATGGATTAGTCTGGGTTTGTCTTTTGAGACAGTTTTTTTTCTTCGGAGAGTCGGCTACATTTTGCTAGACGCATTTCAAGCTAGTTCCACTTGTCGCCCACTAAATGCTGGCAATGCGTATTATTTGTGAGTGTGTGTGTTTGTAGTGTGTGTGTGTGTGTGTGTGTGTGTGTGTGTGTGTGTGTGTGCAACTACTAGTTGTAAGTCAAGGAATTGGCATTGAGCGCCAGCGCTGCTTCCGTGCTGCTGCTGCTTGACGATGTCGATGCTTGCGGCTGTGGCTGATTCGTTCCACTCTCCAGATGCACATTGTTATAGTCCGCTTTCGCATTGCAGCGCATGCCATGGGGCACGGGTAGTGGTGGTGGTGGCTGTTCCGCCAGCTGCTGTGGCTGTTGCTGCTGCTCCACCTCGCCATTGCCATTGTGGGCGTTGCTATTGAGATTGTAAACAGAGAGTCGCGCCTCATGCTCGCGCCGCTGTTGACGCAATCGTATATCGTGCTCCTCGCGCATATGCCGCAACTTGAGGTCCTGCTCCTGGCGATAGTAGGACAGCTTGAGTTCCTGCTCCATTTGCTCGAAGCGTAGCTTCTGCTCATGCTCACGTCGTGCATAGTCAATCTCGGCTAGGCGCGCCTGTTTCAGTAGCTTAAACAGTTGTTGCTTGTATTTCTCCTCCATGTCCAGGCAACTCATGGCGCCCTCATTGGACGACGTCGCTGCTGCAGCCGCAGCTGCTATTGGTGTATATTGTGAGCCAACTGCAGTGCCACTGGCCGCAGGCAGCTCATCCTCGGAGAGCAATGATTGAGCTTGTGAATGCTGTGAATGGCAGAGAGAAAATATATTAAATGGGAACTAATTTATAAATGTGTACTAAATCTACTCACCTTGCGCTGTCGTCTTTTGCGTATTGGTGAAGTCTTCTCGTTGTCATTGTCCTGTGTTGCTGCACCGTTGCCTGTGTCTGGGTCCTCTTTTAAGTTTAGCAACCCTTTGGCTTTGACCCGTTTGCGTCGTTGATTGGACGCAGATTGCAGTGGATTAGATGCGCTCTCTTGCTGCGAGTCGCCGCCGCCGGTGGAGGGCGGTGGCGAGGGTATGGCCATGGTTGATGTCTGTAGCGTATCCTCGCTGGCATTTGTGGAATTCGGCAATGCGGCCAGCGGCATATCCTCATCCTCGTCCAGTTCGAGTAGCTCTTTTTTGAGGGCACCATTGGTGCCACTGCGCGTTTGACTGCGCGACGACACCGGATCCTTTTGCAGCTCCTCCATAAACTCTATCATGCGCATGCCCTCTAGCGCCTCCGACTTGGGCTGCTTCTGCTGATGTTCACGCTTCGCCGAATTCTTCATGCTGCGCCATTGCACCTGGATCTGTTCGAGCAGTCGATGGCGAAAGTTCAGCGCATTGAATCTGTGGAAATGCATAATTAATTGATTGAAATGCGTAATTATAATTTTATCTAAACTTACTGTTTGGTTATTTGCGACCAGGCCAGTCTCTTGGCCTTGATGCTTTTTGCATCGACGCTCCGATTCTCAACGTATGCAACTTTTGTTTTGATCACTTCTAATAGGAGGCCCCGCTCAGCCTCTTCCCAATTAAGCGAACGTTTTTTGCGTGTGCCTTTTTTCTTGCCCGTTGCGCTTTCTTTTTCAGCAGACTCCTCGGCAGCATCTTCAGCATTCTCCACCCCCTCATCAGAGGCATTTGTGGCTTTTGTTTTCGACTCCGCCTTTTCGTCGTCGTCGTCGTCTTCTTGCGGCGACGGAGCACCCTTTGTCAATAGCTCCTCCAGTTTCATTACGATTTGGAATTTTTATTGTTTATGTATTGATTTTATTGTTATTATTATTGTTATTTAAGCGCGTTTCCGATTTGCAAAAAATTCTTATTTGATTTCTGTATATACTTCGCAACGGCGTTGCCACCGCGATTAAGTGCAGCGAGAGTGGCAGCATGCAACATCGGGGTACCGATACTATCGATATTTATTTGTACATCACTGTGCACTTAGTGTGCTCTGATTCCTATCGATACATTGTCGTACTCATACTCAAGTATCGAGCAAAGTAAGTAGCAGGCTGGAAAATATAATCTCATTGGCAAATTATATATTTTTATCACACACGTAACTTAGCGAGATGGCTTTTGGTGACTATCCTGCTGAGTATAACCCAAAGACGCATGGACCTTATGATCCAGCACGCTACTATGGCAAAGGTAAGCAAATTCGCGAAATTACGTAATTTTCTGCCGCCCGACATTGCGGCTTATACCATACTTTTTTTCTTCCATTTTATGTAATGGTTTTTATTTTTTTTACCATTGCAGCTGATGTGCCTTTCGGCCAAGTGAAATTGGGCGAGTTGGGCGCCTGGTTTGGACGTCGCAACAAGAGTCCATCAGCCATCGCTGGCGCTGTCAGCCGTGCCTGGTGGCGTTGGCAGCACAAGTATGTGTTCCCGAAGCGTGCTGGCATTGCACCCTTCTTCCAGTTGACCGTCGCCAGCATGGCTTTCTTCTATATCATCAACTACCCCAAGTTGAAGCACCACAGGAACTACAAGTACCACTAAACGGTACATCTCGTTTAAGCTCTTCAGTGTACACTTTGTTATTAAAACTTTTTTCATTTATTGTTGCCATTCAGTAAAGTGAAGAGAGTTCGAACACATCCACAACACATTACAATACAATTGATGTTTTGAACACGGCTGATTCTAATAAAAAAAAAATTCTGCGAATAACTGTGCTGCATCAAATAATCGTAAATTTCATTTTCGAGCAGTGGTAAACCATAATTAATATATTGTTCTTAATTGTGTTCATCGATGTGAACCAGTGTCTCGTTGGAAGGCTTGGTTTGTGAAACTGGTTAAACTGCAAACCAAGTGTTCATTTATCAAATTGATTTATATGTAGTTTTCAAATCGATCCTCATTTGACTGCTCGAATTGCAAAATTAGTTGTAAATCATAAAAATTCTTGATTAATATCAAACTAATTTTTGTTTCTAACTCATATAAAGCATAGCTAGAACTAGCTGATAGCTGTTTCTGTTTCTAGCTGTCCTCCCGGCAGGAGCTGCTCACAGCTCTAAGCTTGTTAAATCTATTAAAGTTGGCGATTATTTCGGGGCAAGAATTAGGAATCTAAGGCGTTACTACTTTCTATGAAAATTTAATTGGAACTAAATACTTTTATTTTAGACTCATTATATGGCTTTGTCAGTAACACCCATCCGCTGCATTTGCTCCCGTGTCCAACTGCCTGGTTGTATTGTCTTTCGGAGGCGTAAAAATCTCGCAGATGAAGGGCAGCTCACGATCACAGCTCAACGTTTGCCAAGTGCTGTTTGGCGTCAAAGCCACGCAGCTGGCATTGGCTTGGCTGCCGCTATAATGGATTCTTGATTACTATTTATGCATCTGTGTATTTCAAGACAATCCCACTTACCCTATACGAGGATGACCCACATGCCAGGCGCGATATAGAAAGCACAGCAGGCTCTCTTGCTGCGCATTGCGATAGTCGAGGGGCTGCAGGGACTTGCTGATATTAAATTGCAAGCCCACATAGGCCAGAAAGATGCCTGGCTCTGGTTTCTCACCCACGCGCTGTCTATTATAATTCACCAGCCACTGAGATAGTGCATAGGTGCGCGCCTCGGAGGCCACATGGGCTAGGCTTCCACTAAACTCGCTGGCATTGCTGCAACTAGTGGAGGCATTCAAATAGTTCGCGGGTTGGGTATAGAAGACAAACAGACCCACTTGCTCAACGCAGCTAATGTTGTGCAGCGCTACGGGAAGCCATTGATTAGATTTCAGATTTATTGTAATCGCTGGCCTATTCACCTGTGGGCCTGCCGTATAAGCTGTAGTAGTCGAAGCGACTATCGTTTGTCATGCCCGCAAAGCTCGTATTTTGCGGACACGCCAGAACATGGCAGTTGAAGTACTCTGCGGGCTGCTCGAAAACACTCAAACGATTCCGCGCATCCTTTTGCCGCCTCCTGCTTGTCGAATCTCTAGGCTGTATCTCAAAATAATTTTTGCGTCGACCAGGTCCACCCGGTGCAAAGTTTAAGGCCAGGCCACGCAGCTCACGTGCCAGCGCCATGCATTCTTCCAGAGTTCCTGTGCTCTCAAGGGCAAGTGCGTCCGTCGTAGCAGCGCGCTGGCATTGCCGCACCAGATGGAACTGCAAAGGAACAGGATTTGACTTGGGGCAGCGCAGAGCAAGCAAAGGCGAAATGCTTAGCAACAGCAACCACATGGCTTACTGCAGCAACCTACAGATCTGGCATATATATATATATATGCAATATATTTATGCATTCATCTCTCTGACAGCATTGATAACAGTTTTATGGTCAATTTAATTTTTATTGTTCATTTGAATAGTTTCTATTTTTTAGCTTAGTTCTACTCTTTTTATTTAAAATAATACAGTAAAAGCTCGCTTCAACGAACTAGGCAGGCAGATGTTTGCTTAAAACTTAAATACGCATATATACATGCATTCTACAATTTTTACATATTTGAATAATTTAATATGCGAACTTAAACACATTTCAATGGTAAATTAAAATATTTTTATTATAACACTTTTGGCATCCACTAATTTTATTTGTTCGCTTGGTAAATAGTTGTTCGAAAAGGCGAAAGTAAATATGAATATTCATTATTTAAGTTAGTTGTCCGTTTAGCAGAGTTTTCACTGTATCTGTGTGTTTTGTGTATTTCATGAAAATGTTAGCATTGCACAGCTCCAGACGAGCGTTCTAAAAATTATAAAATTCAATGCTCAAATGAAGCTGTGCAAGGACTTGGCTTAAATACTTTGACAATTATTACAATATATAATTTTAATAATTAATATATATATATTATTTTCATTTTGTGAAGAGGATGCACGCTTATAGTACGTAGTAGTATTTATTAAATATTGTAGTGCAAAATAGTTTAAACAATGACAAGAAAAAATTGTATAGAACATTTAACTAAGTACAAAGGCAGAATTATTGGAACTTAGTTTCCTCTTTTGTTTGTTTTTGCTTTTTGTGTTTTTTAAATAAATTTAAAGTACAAATACAAATATCACCTGAGCGTCGGCTGCTGCATTCGTTGTTAGTTCGAGTTTTTTTTTTTTAAATTAAGCGAGTTAAATARTAAGATAAATACAATATTCATACAATTATAAAGTTTAATGACTGCACTACAAGAGAGAACGAGGAGTGTGCGTTTGACTCTGATAAGAATCTAAGTGGAATCCAACCGACACCAACACGTGAGTTCGTGCTTTAACAGAGCTACCGAAATGCAGTGCTGCCCATGTTATATACTTAAACAGTGGCAGCACTGTACAACTCACTCTGTGACATTAGCGGGCAATTAGCAAATAACGGGGAAATTGCCCGGTAATCTCTGCACAGGGAAATTTCATTTTGTTTTGTTTTCCTTTCATGCAAAACCTAATTATTTGTTTGTATATTATTATTAAATTAAAAACTTGTGACCTTACAGACTAAAACTGCATTTGACTACCGCAGGCGGCTCTTGCTCTTCTTCAATGCTGGCATTTAGCTTGATTTTCAATATTTTAAAGTTTTCTTTTTAAACACTTTGAGTGTTCCATTATTGAGTTTTGGAAATATTTGCGAAAGTTTTTGATTTTCTTTTTCTTTTTTGCTTTCAATTTTTGATTGTCACATTTTAGCTGCTGTGCGAGAAGGCGGTGTTTGTGTAGGGTCCACTGTATATGGAGCTGCCCGAGTTGGAAACCGTCTTCGTGCTGCGGCGTGCCATAATGCACAGCACGGCGGCCACCACGGCCAGCATCAAAATGAGTCCAGCAATGGCGATGGCTATGGCAAAGGTGCGCTGCGACACGCACAGAGCATCCTCCAGGGTCTGTGATGAAGGAGAACAGAAAAAACAAGCATTTAAATAAAAGAAATGCATAAAATATTAAGCAAATAAATTTATCCAGTTATATTTCAATATATCCAACTCATACATTTATCAAACTACCCTCGCTTTGGTGCAAGTATAAATTCCACTCACCTTCTCCTTGTACACAGCATCCTCGTCGCTATCGTTGGCATTCTCGTTCTCATTGACATAGAGGCCAGAGAAGACCTCGATGGTAGCGGGCAGCGCTTCGTCGTCTTTGCCGTCGGCCGTTGTCTGGCGCTTGGGTCGTTTGCCCGTGCAGACAGGCGCCTCCTGGCAGCTGGGGTCCTGCAGAGCGCACAGACGGACATTGCACTGATAGTACACGGAGGTGGTGTAGGGGAATTTGTGGGCCGGGAAGGTAACGTTGGCAGCCAGACGATCTGCCGTATAGTTGAATTGACCCATGATCTCGTTGTCCATGGGACAGCTGAAGCAAGAGAGAGAGAGAGAGAATACTTGAGTAATGCGTTACCATTTCCATGCCATATACCGTTTGACTTACCCATCTTCGCCCACCAGTCGCTGCTCGCCCCAGCCCAAGCCATCACGAACAATGCAATCCGTTACGTGCAGGCCGTAGAGCTCCTGCTTGTCGATGCTGATGACAATGGTCAGCGGATCGCCGATTTTCACATCGTCGGCGATTTTGTGCTGGTCGTTGTAGATCTTCATGTGGCAGCCGGGCATGGGCAGCTCGTTGTTATCAGTCGCATCCACATCGTAAACATCATCATCATCATCCTCCAGCTCGTCAAGCTGCTGTTTGTCCAACGAGCGGCCATAGTCGCGTCTGTCGTGCTCATCGCTGCGATAGGCTTGTGGCTTATGGACGACCTTATGCTTCTTGGGCTTGACGGCAGCGTCGCGGCTCATGTAGGCACAGCGCACATGGTAGCCGCGTCCCAGATCCGTTATCAGCTTCAAGTGCGGCTGCAGCACAATTGTGTTGAAGAACTCGATGCCGCCATCGTCCTGAAACGAGCAATGGAGAAGCGGAAAAATACGTGAATGAAATGACTTGGGCAACAAACTAGCAAAAGACTTTGGCAACAAACTTGCCACAGCATGCAAGTCGCATCTTCGACGGCTCGTTAGCGCTCAAGCATTTCCTCAAGCTACGCCTCTTTTATGCGCTTCTCCTATAGAATGGTGCTAGCAAAACAAAAGACTTAGGCAACAAACTTGCCACAGCATGCAATGTACGCTAAAATTAAATGCTGTCTTTGAAGCCATATGAGCGCAGCTTCGATTCGCCCCACTGTACACACAATGGGCCTGCTGCAGTGTCTCATTATGCATATGGTTTGTAGCTGGAGAGATTCACGCCTCGCTGCCTCTGAAAATTGCCAGCACGAAATTTGATGTGCGACGAGGTCGTCGTCGTTAGATCACGAGCACTTCCTCAAGTCTACCTATCTATATAGACTTCTGCTGCTTCTTTGTGTTTTGTAGAATTGTGCTAAAGCTCGTGCAGCCAAGTGTGAAGCCCGCCCTTATCTCCATATCCGCACAAATTAGCAATGTTTGCGTAATGAATTTTCATTTCGGTTCAGCTTAGTTTGCTTTTTACCCCAAGTTCTGGCTGAAGCAATCAATCTGCTGCGAGCGTCTGCTGTTGCCTGTTGCTTGTTGTACATCCGCTGCATTGCATCATTGCTCATCTTCAGACCGACATTCAACTGCCCACTTGCCCCTATATCATTTAATATCATCCACGGGCCGAGGCACATTTACTTAGCTTTTCGTTTTTTTTCTCTTTCTTTCACATTCTATTTTCTACACGCATAACGGTAATTGCGCTTGTGCTTGTGCTAATTTTGCTGGCAGGCAGCAATAATAACAACAACAAAAGATACAATAGCACATACTCCACACAATCGCACGTCTATTAGAGATGATCGCGTGTCAAAGTCTTTAAAGCACGACGTGAGCTTTTAAAGAGAACATTGCAGATGAGTTGCATCAAATGCATAATACTCATATACGATATATGTACTTTATATATATTCAGAAATGTATATGGGCTCGACAATGTTTGAGGTTAGCTACATAGCTTTAAGAACCGAGATCTTTTTAAACGATTATTTATAAGTATTTGAAGTCCCGTCACTATAGTTAGTTTTTGTTACTCTATATATCGGATATAATATATATGTTTTCCCTTCATGTATTTTTCCATATATCACATTGTGCTATAGTACCCACTCGTCCGCCCATCTCTAAGATATATATTTTCGTTAGGCTCTTCAGCCATCAATTGCTCGCGTGGTTGTTGGCAATTGTATTTGGGTCTCGCTGTACGTGCCGCAGTCGGAAGTCATTGATAATTGGGTCTGTCTACAGATTTGGGCACGGAAATGCTTTTTGAGTGGCTGCGACGTCACCCAAAAGGGCCAAACGCATAAATATCAAAGTGGGAAGCTAGTTTCCTGACGTGCGAGCCGCTGGGCTAACAAGCAACGACAGAACGTCATAAATGTTTGACAGTTATGTGAGCGAACTGAGTTCCCAGCAGCCCAGAAAGAATGAGCGAGAAGAGACAATGGAGGCCAATAAGATGGGCTGTAATAAAATGACATTTAAGATTTGAAGAGCACATAACGGTAGATGGAAGCAGGCAGCTATTATGTCATTATGACACTTCTGTGCGACAGTTCTCAAGCTGGTTTAGAATATCGGTGAAGAGATAGCAGTGACGATTGCTGCTCGGATATGTTAATGGGCGATTTAAAGAAATGCACAACTTAGCCGCAACGCTGTAAGATTCATAAATGTCAACGGCAATGCGTTAAGCGTATGTTACGTGACTGCGGGCTGCGTGGGCAGCGACCTTCGCTCCAGTCGAACAGCAGCTAAAAGTCAATTTCATAAATAAAATATCAATAACAATAAGAGAAGCATGTTTACATGGCTTGCACACGCACACACACACACACACTTACACGGTTTTTGGCATTTTTCATGGTCGGCCGTTGAACGTTGACCAAATGGCCGCCAACGTCGCCTCGAGATCATAAAAGATGCGCTGCGCACTGCACAGAACAAATCGATTTTGTTTAGCCTGAAGAGCATAAGCCGATTCACACGAAAGACTTAGGCAACAAACTTGATGCTACTGCTGCTGCTGCTGCTGTTCACACTATTCGCGGTCTGATTGGAATTTAATTTGGAAAATGTTGCTTATCAATGCCTCGCATGGCTTACAAGTTCTGAATATTGTTTTTTTTTTTACTCGCTGTTCACAGCAATTATAATTTAATTAAAGCGCCCTTCACATTTGTTTCTCTGTCTCTTTCTCTCTTGCTCGCCCATTGCTGACCCTGCATGCCACAGTTAAGGCAGCAATAAAACAATTAATAAAGAATTGACTTGACAGACAGAGGGCTACTCGGTAGGCAGGTTAATGAGTCTAGCTTATATTGAACTGAACGACAAGCAGTAGAGTATATATATTGAATATGATTGAACGGCAAGCAGATACCCTATAGTGTAAATAGTATGCGGTATAATTGATGTGCATAATTAGTAAGAGGCCAAAAATTCGATATCCAACTAGTACATATCCTGCGGATACTGGAGTATTGCATATCAAATTACATTGGGGTAAACTGGAAGAGCTATTCGAAAAGGGGATTATTCTAAAAGGGATATTATTGAATATTAAAAATTTTATTTTTATCAATTCATTGAAAATAAAAAAAGGTTTTATTGACCTAAGCAAATTACTTGCAATTTTATGCCTAGCTAAAAATGGATATTAAATCGATACATTACAAGGCTGTCACTCCTGATAAGGATATAGATACATATATTTCAATTTACCTAAGGCCATACAAAACAGCTAATTGAAAGCTTGTATGAATATATCTTAAAAGTAAAAAAACAAAACAAACAAAAAACAGCGTTTATAACTAAAATATTCATAGCTTATTTAATTGTGCTTGGCATGCACAACAACAAGTCTAATAAAAACAGCAACATCAACAACAACAACAACAACAGCATCTACAACATCTACTACCTTAGTCACAGCAATAACAACAGGGTCGTTGCGAAGCCTCGCTTGGAAGTCAATGGCGTGGCAACGTTTGTTTTTTTTTTTCGCGGCAGTTGACACGCGACTTTTTACATAAATAAAAAGTTGTTGCCATAAATGTGCAGGCAGTTGTGCTAGTGTATGTGTGTGTGTATAGGTCTTTTCATTTCAATTGTATGCAAATGTGCATTGTGCTGAGTTCATCTGCCGCGCTGACGTAAGCCCAGCATCCTGCCTCAGTCAGCAGTCGACTGGCCACAGAGATGACATCAACAAAGAGAAAAAGCTGCAGGTAACTTCACCTGGCTTATATTGATTTTGCACTTAGCTTATGTTTTTTCATTTAATTGCTATTTAAATTACATAGTTATTTATTTAGCGCTTCAACGGCGACAGAGACTGTGACAGAGACAAAAGACTGAGACAACAAACTTGGCTGCGAAATTCTGGTACAAAGTGCGTGCAAAAAGTCTACGTACACGCCCGATTGCCACACTGATCGGCAATTATTTCGAAGATTTGTGTCAGGCCAATCGAGCGAAAGGCAAAAGCAACAAATTACAAAACTCTTTAGCTTTGGGAAATTACATTAAAAACAAGAAATGTAACACAATAACAGCCGCGTGCGTGTGTGTTGGCCATAAATACATACATATGTGTGCCCGGGTGCTAATTGAGATTTCAAAATATATACACAAACATATGTATATCCAGCCATCTATATGAGCTTCGTGCGTCTGTAAACGCTCGTAAATCGATGCTATGAGCCAATAAATAAGCCACGCCATAAAAGCATCATTCAACATCTAGCCAGCATCAACAATATATGTATGTCTATGAGCCATAATACCCAAGCTAACTTAAAAATTTATATCACAATTTATTGACCATTTCGGATCATTTGATATTTGGCCATGCCATATGAGATGGGGTTAACTGGACTCATCGACTTATCTCACAAGTTTTTATCCCAGTCAATTTGTTTAGTTATAATAAAAAATTAAATTGTGCTAAATCTCGTTTAAGATAAGACAAAAGGTTTTTTTATTTTTTTCAAAGTAAGTTGTTTTTGCTATTCTGTTTAGCGAGCTATTCGAATTTTGTATAACTGGGCTTAAGAGGATATATGAGAGAGCAAAGAGAGAGATAGAGAGAGTGAGTCTGTTAGAAAAATAGAGATATGGATCGAAATATAGAAGAGATATTGAGAGAGACGCAGGCATATGTATATACATATAACGAGAGAGGGGAACAATAGAGTTCAAGAGAGTTCAAAATAGATTGAGAGAGAAAGATATAATGAATAAAGCGCTTTGGAGGGGAAAAGCGGAGAGAGTCTCATCATTTGCCCTCTTCATTGCATTCTAATTGACCTCTACATACTACATGGCTAACTCTACAATTGAGCTGCAGTTGTGGCAACGCTTCGCCATCCGTGTAGCAATTACGGTGCGCCGGCTGCCACCTCCCATTCAATTGTCAACGAGTTGATGATGCACCTTAATAAGCGTGTCATTAGCTGAATGCCAAAGAGCCACAAGCACTCAGTCAGCTTGATTCAATCAGCGCCAAGTTCGTCGGCTAATCAAGTTGGCATATGGATGGGTCACCTTGTAACCAATCTCTGTCAGCTAATGTGCCTTATAAGCACTTAATGGCGTTTCGCACAGTTCAAAAACTCAATTAGCATGTCGCAAAAGGCAAGACAACCATATGCTAGCATCTCATAAAATGTTGACATAAATCGCGCAACTTATGTGGGTGCCTAGATTTTATGAGCTGAGCTGGACTGGACAAGACTTACCCGCTCCTTGGGCATCGTGTTGCAGCTGCGCAGCGGCAATCTGTAGCGCAGCGCGCCAATGTGATCTCTGCAAAGAAAATGAAAAAGATTAGATATTGATGATGATGCCAATCTAAGCTGTATGGCACGCACACACACACACGCATAGTCCACTCACCTGTATTCGCTGAGGCATGAGGAGTTCTTGGAGAGGCCTTTCGGGTAGATCATGCCGCTGAACAGGCCCGTCTCGTGATTGGGTGGCGCATCTTTGATCGTGATCAGCATGGAGCCCGACTGGCACTGCACACGTACATTGGGCGCAATGCTGCCTGGCTTCGCCGTGGGCGTGGCATCCTGAGCAGCGGCTTCCGCCTCGGCAGCGGCAATGGCAGCGTTTAGCGTGCCAGGCGCATCCTCTGCAAAGTAAAAGAGGGAAAAGGGGGATTAGATTATGAAATATTTGCGAATTTACAGTTAGAAAAGACAAACTACAGTTAGACAATAACAATATCGAAAAGACAAAGCGAAAGCCAAAGGCAGAGCCAGAGTCAGAGTCAGAGTCAGACCCGGAGCCAAAGGCGAAGGCAAAGCTCAAACGCAAGCTGAGGATGCGGCTGAGCTCGGGCCATTCGCATAAATCATCAGCGATAGACGAGACAGTAAAAGAAAATAGTAGAAGGTGTTGAGTGACCAGGAGATACCCTGTAAGCCATATGGGAAGATATATACATATTGATTTTGTGGAATAAATATTCCATTTGTAACATAGTTTAGTTTATATAAATCTAAACATTAAGAAATACCCTGTAAGCTTATATAAATCTAGGACATATATAACTATATATTATTATATTATATTACTGTATTATAGTTCATATAAATCATATATCTTGTAGCATCTATATCTCTTGTATGTATAAATTATAGCTTTGGTCACATTTTCAATTCGTACAGGGTATTTGCGAAAAACAATGGCATTTATAAGACGCCCCTGGGAGCAGCAACAGCCATTGAAGCCGAAGCTGAGCTGAGCTACAGCTGGCAACTGCGGAAGCAAAAATGCTGCGACAAACATGAAAAACTCTGGCCAAGTTAATGACATTGAAAAGCCATTCAAAGAGCAGCAGCAGCAGTAACAACAACAACAACAACAATAACAACAATAACAACAACAACAGCAGCAGCAGCAGCTGGCATTAGAGAGCTGCCAGTTCCTTGAACTTGTGTATTGCAGTCAGAACCTTTCTTGATGCTTGGTAATTGCTGAGCCCAGAAACCAAGTAAACTGACTAGCTACAGGGCTATATAAGCTAATATGTATAGTATATATAAATAGTATATAGAAATAGGTGTGTATGTGTGTGTGCACAACACCTCGCGTGCGATGCGCCTGCAGCTAGATTCACATTCTTTTCTTTTTTTTTTTTTTGCACTGCTTTTTTGCTATGATTCTGACGCTGGTTTGCTCTTGACTGGAAAACTTGGCCCAAGTGGAGTGGATCGGTGAATGCGAGTGGAGGGGGCTCCTAAGATGGCGTTGCTTTGGTTTAGTTCAACGAACCCTCCAGCAATTCGCATCAGTTAGCTGGCTTCTATGCCTATTCTACAGCACATGCTGCTGGGCCAAGTAATTGCATGCAGCTCGAAAGCCGGTTTTCTGCTCTTGCTCTCTGCTGCCCCAAAGCCAGCTTAGTTGTTCGCTTTGTTGCTGTTGTAAGTGCTTAATGTTGATGCATATTATGTAGAGTTTAGTCAAATGCAGCCACGAAATGGAGCACAGTTAAGCCCTTTCTTTACGGCTTGGCTCAACAAAAATTTCTTTTATATAACATTTTGTATTCCATTATATAGCAAGCTTTTCGTCTTGACAAATTTCCTAAAGTCTCTTGACAATAGTCGAAATACAAATTTTTTTACTTTTATATCTGAGAAATCTTAAGTTTGCTTTTATTTGTTTTTCCTGAACATTTTTTACAATAGTCTTTTATATTTATCAAATTTTAAGTTATTTTATGTACTTTTTGTTTAAATGGAAGATTCTGTGAAAATCGAAGATGTCATTGAACAGCCAAGCACAGCGGACTGCTCGGTTGACCCTCCTGCACCACCTGCGCAATCTGCACCACCTGCATCAGCTCCACCACTTGCATCATCTTCGCTCCCGGACTTGCAGATGTCGGCGGCTCACATTCAGCTGAGCGCCGAATCGTCTGAAGAGCCCACTCTGGAGGTGCTTTGGAATCCATCAACGCTGATCGACCTGGAGTCCGAAGAGTTCGAATTGATTAGACTACAGTCGAGCACCGAACTAAAGCCGAACGGATCCAATGGCTCGAAAAGCTTTACTGCAGAGATGTTGGAGCTGCATGAACTCATCAACGAGCAATTTCCATTATCAGAGACGTCGGAGGATAAGGTATATGCCTGTTATATAATTGGCATAGCTGGGTTTAATAATTCCCATAAATCCTCGCACTTTCCCAGTTAGTAAGCCTTGAAAGTAGTTCGGATAGTAGGATGACAAAGACTTTCATCAACCAAATGGACATCAAGTCAACCTTCCAGCCGTGCTCTAGCGAGGATTCGGGCCCAGACTCGGGAATAACATATAATTCGCAAGCGAATAGGTATGATTCATCTCTCCTTTCTCTTCTCTTTCGATCTGTTCTTATCATATTTAAATTTCTTCTTTTTTTTCTCCTCTCTTTCACCTCTTTCATCTCTCCTTTCTCTTCTCTTTCGATCTGTTTTTATCTTATTTAAATTTCTTCTTTTTTCTCCTCTCTTTCACCTCTTTCATCTCTCCTTTCTCTTCTCTTTCGATCTGTTTTTATCTTATTTAAATTTCTTCTTTTTTCTCCTCTCTTTCACCTCTTTCATCTCTGTCAACTGCTCTATTCACCACTTTGAAAAGAGAACAGTTACATCTTTTTCATCTGCTTTCTATTCTGTGCACTATTCTTCTCATCTCATACCAATCCTATTCTTTTCTGTCTACTGTTCTCATCTCTCGTATCCTTCCTGATCCCACTTAGTCGCGTTAACTCCGATGAGAGGCTGCCCCTAAGGGCATCTCATCTAAATGAGAATTTCAGACTAATTCCTTTGATTGATATGAGCGATGACATACATTATGACAGGAAGGGGCCCGAGCGGCCTTGTTATAAAGATCAGTTGGAGCCAATACTGAAGGCTGGCATTAAATGGGATCTTAAGGTGTTTGTGGGGATATATAAGTTCTATTGCTTTCAGTGCGTGCTGGAAGTATATTCCCCCTACTTTCGACGCAAAAAATTGGAAGATGTGGTGCAATTGCCATCGCATAAGGTCACCCCGCGGGCCTTTTACACCATCTACTATTGGATGCTGCACGAAAAGTTGCAGCCCCATAAACGCTACAGCAATCGCTACCTGCTGGAAATCTATAGTTCGGCCAAATATCTAGGCATCCCGGAGATCGTCGACGCCGTCTGGAATAACCTGGACATTATTAAGAATGAGAACGAGGCCTTCACCCTGATGCCCGACCTGAACTACATGGATTTGACGAACTTTGAGTTTCTCTGCTACGCACGCATCAGTCGCTTCTTTCTGACCCTTGTCGCATCGCACGAGTTCATCGAAATGGAATTCTATAATGTCAAGCGACTCCTTTCCAATCACAATGCTGGCGTGAACAGTGAGATTGAGGTGAGCTATTATGATTTTGCTACCTTTACTTCTGCTCCTTTTCCTACTGCTATTCCTACTCCCACTCCTTCTATTTCTACTCCTACTATTCCTACTATTTCTACTCCTCTAACTTCTTCTTCATTACATTTCGCCTCCTTCCCTCTCAGATCTTCTATTCGGCCGTACGTTGGGTCAGCTACGATTGGCCCGATCGTGTTGACCATGTGCCTGACCTAATGAAGTGCATTCGTTTTAATCATCTCTCGCCCATATTCTTACGTTTCCTGCAAAAGCAGCACAGCACACGTGTAATGCAGTACATAGCCAATTTACCATATGTGCAGGACCAGATCAACAAAGCCTTTATGTGAGTTCCAAATAACTTGTCAGTCATCAAATTCCATTTATGAGCATGTTCAATTCCAGCTACGCCTCCGCTGAGCTCTTCTGCAAGGATCCCCAGCAGACGTTGCCTTTTCCGGTGCCCGAGTTCGAAGTGCCGGAGCAGCGCCGTTGGATCTATGACGAAAAGTGCTCCTATCACCATGACCTCAAGTGTAGCCAACGTCAGTTTATTACCTATCAACAGTTCCTCAGCTATCTGGAGAGTCTGCACGAAACAGGACCTGATTACTGGCGCAACCTAGTCTATATAACCGAGCCCATCAAGTGCTGCACACGGCTCATGCCTGAATAGACACACACATACGCACAAACACTGGTCTTTATAAATATTTATGTATGTATACAGTTACACACCTCCACTGTGTGTGGCTGGCCAGGCGGAAGTATGCCGCAACATTTGGCCAGCCAAGTCTTTCCAGTTGGATTTCATCGATTTTTAATAAGACAGCTAAATGCGACATGAATTGACTTTTGCTTTGGCCTCCCTTCCTCAGCTCTTTGTTTGGTTGTCTCTGCTGCTATTGTTGTTGTTGTTGTTGTCATTGTTGGTATTGTTGGCAGCCAGGTAAACGTGAAGCCAACAACACCTTCACTTTTGCAATTTCAGTTGCAGTTGCGAGATTTGTCAGCAGGATAAATAAACAGCTGCCGATGGTTGAATTCCCTCAACAAATTTGGCAGAGGCTTCAAAAGTGGGCAATGCCACACATAGAGATTTATATGAAAACCTAACCAGTTTGACCTACGTCAGTTAGGAAATTAAAGCTAGCTAAGATTGTCTTAAAATTATTTAACAATTATTTATTATGTTGACTACATAATAAAAATAAAGTGTTTTTAACATTATTATTTATTTTTAATTTTATTTTATTTTTTTA